CATGATGAATTAACGATGCAAATTATTTTTTCATTTTAATTTTGCATTGTAGATGGAGCTATTGGCCTTTATTATAACTTATTTTCTGTTTCAGCCAAGGTCTAAATTAGAGCAGTACCAGAGGAGAAGGAGAGCAGGTGACATATTCTAGAGCTATTGGAAGGTATAATATCCAGAAGTATAAATGGCTGTTGGGAGGATGCATTCCATGCTTCTGAAGTGGCCAACTGGTAAATGATGGTGCCATTTGCTATGATGAGGGACTCAGGAGGAGGGGAAGATTTAAAGGAAGGTACATTTATTTTTCAGATTTGAGGAATTTTAGATATACACTGAATGAATACGATAAAAATTCACTAATCCCTTCAGTCTGGAAAGCAGGAGAGAACTATGTTGGAGACAGAGATTTGAGTATTATCAGTGCACAGAAGTAGATAAGTTCTAGGAGTGTCTAAACAATGAAGAATCTGGGGAATACTAACATGTCAGGAAAAGAGATAGGACGAGGCGGCAAGAAGGCAGCCAAGAAGAAAACACTGGAGTGGATAAAGAAACCATGAGGAGAATTACAATTTGAAAGGTTTGGAGACCATTGATTTAATGGCCGACTTAATTGGTTTGATGGTCTCCAAACCTTTTAAATTGATACCCAATCAATAAAGTTTTTTTGAGAAAATTCCATATATGTATACTTACAAGTTATATATATATTTTAATCCACATAATAACTATTAGTAAAATTCAATTTCTTACAAAGTTAGACATAAACTAAATATATCTTTTCTACTGTAAAATGCTTATTTTCCCAATTTTATTGTCTGTCCATAAGGGAATGGTGATGATGTTGTATCTCTGCATACATGAACTTAGTCACAATGAATCATAGTGTCATTATTTGTAAGTTTAAATAAATTTATAAGTTTAAATACATCTAAAATAATTCTTGTAATAAATATTAACTAAACTTCTAAATGACAGAGGAAACTGTTTCATTTAATTAGCAGTGTTTTTCCTTCTTAGAGATTGGTATAGTAATGGCACATCTTACAATCAATAGAAATTGTTTTCTTCCCACACCCCAGTGGATCCTCTATTGTGCCTCACTTTAAGGACTGGATTTAGGCCGGGTGTGGTGGCTCACATCTGTAATCCCAGCACTTTGGAAGGCCAAGGCAAGCAGATCACCTGAGGTCAGGAATTTGAGATCAGCCTGGCTGACATGGTGAAACCCCGTCTCTATTAAAAATAATACGAAAATTAGCTGGGTGCTTTGGCGGTCACCTGTAATCCCAGGTACTCAGGAGGCTGAGGCAGGAGAATTGCTTGAACCCGAGAGGCAGAGGTTGCAGTGAACCCAGATCCCGCCCCTGCACTCCAGCCTGGGTGACAGAGTGAGACTACATCTCAAAAAAAAAAAAAAAAAAAAAAAAGACTGGTTTTAAGAGGGAGGAGTCAACAGTATGTAACATCTTGAAGAAACTAAATAAAATATTGTCTTAAAAATGGAAAAACATTAATAAACTTTAGCAACTAGAAGATCACTGGAGGCCTTCATGGGGGCAGTATCAACAGTAGAAGAGGAGCAACCAGGTTGTAGAGGTTCAAGGAATAAATAGTAGCAGGTTACATTGAATGTATACTTACCACATTCCAGACACTGTGCTTAGGACTTTGCATACAACCCTGAGAAGTTATGATTATCCCTAATTTAAGATAATAATTAGAGACTTGCAAAGTCTAAGTGACTTGTACTAGGTCATAAAGCTAAGTAAGTGATCCTAGCAGAATTTGAACCCACGTTGACCGTCTCAAAAACTGAGCTCTTAAATAATATGCTCTAAGGTCTCCCAGCGTGAGGTTAGTGGAGACAGTGACTGAATGTAGACAATGACTCTTCTGAGTAGCCAGGAAACCAGGCAGCTTGCCTATGGGTAAGAGCAGGAAAAAAGGGAAATGGGAACTCATAGAGTTAAGGGAACTTCCCCTCATTCCCTCCTCCCGTCTTTCTTAAAAGACGTGCATGAATTGAGCATTGTTATACAGTGAAGGAACTGAGGCAGGAAAGAGAGAGCATTTGAGGCAATTCTGCAAGAGAGGTGATAACTGATAGGAAGATTGCCAATGGCCGGGCGCGGTGGCTCACGCCTGTAATCCCAGCACTTTGGAGCCGAGGCGGCGATCACAAGTCAGGAATCGAGACCAGGTGAACCCGTCTCTATAAAAATACAAAAAATTACCGGCCGTTGGGCGCTTAGTCCAGCTATCGGGAGGCTGAGGCAGGAGAATGGTGAATCCGGAGCGGCTTCAGTAGCCGAGATCGCCACTGCACTCCAGCCTGGGCGACAGAGCGAGACTCCGTCTCAAAAAAAAAAGGAAGATTGCCAATGATCTATAGCACAGATGGGAAATTTAGCCTTAAGCAGGAGAAGGCTGCCTCCTCCACCACAAGGAGGAAAGTGGTAAGACTGGAAACTGTACAGAGAAGTATGTAGGTTTTACGTGCGGGGGAGGAAGGGAACACATGGAAGAGTTCAAGTGCAGGTTACTTATTTTCCCTGTGGAGTAGGAGACAAGGCCATTGCTTAGAGAGTGTGCAGGCTGGGGAGGAGACGGGATAGTCAGACTTGATAGGTATATTACTAAACTTGAAACAGTAGCTGTGGGGAATGAGAACTGTAGCTTACTTGGGACTGGTTAGAAGCTATAAACTACGAATGACACCAACCTTCATGGTATAGGATTTTTTTCCCCCAATGATGCCTGCCAGCTTGTACCTAAGAACCAAACAGGTAGATTGAAACAACGTTAGGATGTTATGCAGCATAGAGAAGCAACTGTTAGAAGAAAAGGTGGCAAGGGAGTTGAAGACTGCAAGAAAGGTGCAAGGAGCTGATGGACTAGAGAAAATTGGGGTATCGATGGTCTGGAAGCCTCAATGAAATTACTGGTTTGGCAGATGTAGGGGGAGTAGGAGAGTGAGGAAGCTTAAAGAAGAGAAGAGAGTTGAATCCAGGCATTTTTGCATGTGCCCCACCCCACACCTTGGAAGGGGAACGGTTATCTCCCATTCTCCCGGTGACCATCCTTCTAAACTCTTCCTTTTATGGCAGGGCTGGAAATTGGAAAGCTACATTTCCCAGACTCCCTTTGTCAGTGGAGTTTCAGTTTAGTATCTACTGACTGGGGGACACTTGCATGAGATTTGCAAGGTAATAAAGGAGAAGTCATTTTTCTCCAGCTGCAGCTAGAGGCAAGCTCATCAGCATTGGCAGATGGCAGACATCTGGGAAGACCTCCCTCAGATTTCCAGGCATGCTCCTGAGAATCACTTTGGTGCTGCAGAGCTGAGATCCTCAGTAGTAGTTTCTGCAACCCATGCAACCCTAAATTTCTTGAATTGCAACAGTGGTTTCTCAGATCTTTGCTCCCTTGGACCTTCCAGACTGTATAATCTTCTAATTTTCCATATTAAATATGTTTTACTTGACATATTTAGAGAGCTGTTTCCCTAATATAACCTTGGCTAATATATCCTCCCAATTTTTCAATTAAGCTGGATCATGAGCTTTTCCATGATCACATTCATCAGTCAGGATGATCACATTTCTATCAGTCAGTATTTTTAGTTGCCAGCAACAGAAAATAAATACAGCTAACTGAAAAAGAAAAGAAATTTAATGAAAGGATTTCAGAAAGCTTGCAGAATTGCTGGAAAGGGTGGAGAACCAGGCAGTGAGAATGAATCTAGGGAAAGTGGGACACAAGCAAAATCATGCCATAGAACCAGGGCAGCAACTGCCCCTGTTGAACTCAGAGGCTGCACGTCCCTATTTTTCTTTTTTTCAAGACAGAGTCTCACTCTGTTGCCCAGGCTGGAGTACAGTGGTGCTACCGCAGCTAACTGCAACCTCCGCCTCCTGGGTTCAAGCAATTCTCCTGCCTCAGCCTCCCAAGTAGCTGGGATTACGGGTACATGCCACCACGCCCAGCTGATTTTTGTATTTTTTTAGTAGAGATGAGGTTTCACCATGTTGGCCAGGCTGGTCTTGAACTCCTGACCTCTTGATCTGCCCGCCTCGGCCTCCCAAAGTGTTGGGATTACAGGTGTGAGCCACCGCGCCCGGCCCCTGAGTGTCCCTCATTGAGAAAGCTAAGCTGTGCCCCTGTGCCCTAGACTTAAAGATGACAGGGAAAGTGAGCATCTGATCTTTCAGCTTTTAGAGTCATAGCTGTGACTCATAAGGTGGGGAACCTCAAACAAGAGATTCAAATGCTGGGAAGCCTCACAACTGGTAAATGTGTACTCTGACATCCAGTTTGTATACGTGTGTGTGTCTCTGTGTGTGTGTCATAGTTTGTACCTTTTGTTTTCTTTGCCAAACCCTCCAAATGCTCATTGTCCCCACTAAGTCTCCTTATCCTTTAAGATTCCGCTTCCTCCCTGAAACCTTCCCAGCTGGAAGTGTCTGCCTCCTGCTCTGAACTCCCAATGCAATTTTTATTATTTGACCTTATTAAATCCTCACTTGATTTGTATTGATATTTGCGTTAAAAATATTAAGTTCTAGCATATTTAAGGTTGAACGAACATTAAAGGTCATCTACTCCGATGCCCGGTAGCTCATCAGCTCATTGAAGTCATGACCTGTCTTCTCCATGTTTGAACACCCCACAGTTGTGGGAGTAACACTTGCTTATGATAAACACCTTTAAATATTAACTTGTATTAAAGGAGCCCCTCCAGGATTTGCTTGTCCTCATTTCCCTGTCTGTTCCCGACACTTCCCACCACCACCACCCCCTTCTCCTTACTCTCACAACCACTTATTGTAACCCAGACAGTCCTTTCTACCGATAACAACTCTTTCAACCAATTGCCAATTGGGAAATTTTTAGATCTACCTGGAAGCCCCGCCACCCTGCTTTGAGTTGTCCTACCCTCCAGATAGAACCAATGTGAATCTTACATGTATTAATCGATGTATTATGTCTCCCTACAGTGAACAAAAGCAAGTTGTGCACCGACCACCTTGGGCATGTCATCCGGCTCTTCTGAAGGCTGTGTCACAGATGCGTCCTTAACCTTGGCGAAATAAACTTTCTAAATTGATTGAGACCTGTCTCAGATATTTCGGGGTTCCCACCTTCCTCACTGCTTTATTGAACAGTGGTCACTTTCTGCTGCTCGGCCTCTCCTTCCTAGCCTGTTCGGGAAAATCATCGGGGTTAGGGCTGTGAGGCAGGCAGGACCCGGGGGAAGGTAGTAGGGGCCATTTCCCTCCCACTCCCCTCCGCTCCTTCCCTGCTGGAGAGCTGGCATGTGACCTGCCCCCTGTCAGTCAGAGGTTTCAGCCTGGGACAGTCAGAAATCATTTCTGGAGGTGGAAGCAGCGCTGTCTCGGGGCCGAGTGCGCAGCATCAGCCCTGGCGAGCTCCCCGGGCAGGCAGCATCGTGGTGGCATTCGCACCAAAGGCTCCTGTGGCCGGCGTGGGCTTGTAGCAGCTCTGGGCTGCCTGCCTCACTTGGTTGCCTCTTGTTTTCTGAGCCTGGTTCTCCAGCTCTGGCTCTGTGTGAGCAAGACCATATCCCATCAGTAAATCCTGTTTCAGCTTAGATGAGCCAGAGTTGGGTGTTCTGTGATTTGCTCCTAAGATCCCTGGCTGGCACATTTTCTTCCTCCATCTCCTAAATGAGAGTATTCCCAGTGGTTCTTTTCCTGGCTCTTTTTTTTCCGCCATCCACACTCTTTTAGCCAGAAAGTTAATCTATTTTCTGGGTATCAGTTACCACCTTTGCACCAATTTCCCCCAAATCTTTTCCCAGGTTCCACCTCTCTCCTGAGCGCTGGTTTAATCTCACATTTCCAATGCACTTCCCATGCATGTCCTCTGATGCATGAAAATCAACAGGACTAAAACTCATACTTACCAGTTTTCATCTTGCTGATACACCTACTTCTCCTCCAAGTTTCTGTCTTCCTTGCTGGACACCCAGACTTTAAATTTTTAAAATCTACTCTGCCTTTTACATCCCCAAACAAACAGTACCAAGTTTTGTTTATGTTTTCCTGCCCAGTAACTCTTACATTCTTCTTTTCTCATGTACTGTCACTACTTTGTTCTTGCCTGAACAATTGCAGTATGCTCTTTTCTGAGTGCCTGCTTCTAGCTGTCCCTCTGGGTCAACTTGACAACATGTGGTCGGTGTAATTTTCCTAAAACACAGTTCTAGTCATGTCACCCTCCCACTTGCCCCTCCACACACCTTCAACGCCTCAGGCTAAGGTGAAACCCCACCTTTACCTTCCACAACCGAATCCTAAACTATTTCCCCTTTATTTATCTTATATGTAGAATTTTATAAAACACCTTACGATCCCTGATCATGTCCCATACTTTCCCACCTTCATGCCTATGTTCAGGGTATTTTCTTTACCTGGAGTGTCTTTCTCTCAGTTCAACCCAAGTTGCAACTCAGGTGTCATCTCCTCCAAAATGTCCTCCTCCTTGTCACCTTGTAACCTTGTAAAGAGCTTCCAACCTTTAAAGTGCATATGAATCACTTAAGCATCTTGTTAAAATGCAGATTCTGATTTATAAGTCTCGGTTAAGGTCTGAGAGTCTATTAATACATTTCTAACAAGTTCCTGAGTGATGCCACAGGTCCCTGGACACACCTGGGGTCGTGAGGCCCTAAGGTGAGGCATGCTCTATTATTAAACCACAGGGCAAGACAGCAGGACAGGAACTATGTGGTATTCACTTACAATATTCTACAATGTTTACAGTACCCATTTAGCCTCCTTGAACACAGGGATTGGGCTTCATTCATCATTATTTTTGTTGAATACAGTCACTTGATCAGTTTATCTTAATTGAATATGCTTCTGACATCACCTCCTTTTCTTTCCCACCACATGGTTTTGCTTACTTCTTAGTTTAACTGGATTTCACATGGATAAATATCTGGGAGAAGGAGATGACCTACACATGATCTACCATAGGTGAGGATGGCCCAACATGTTGAAGTTAATGCTAATTTAATTATTGTTATAGCCAGGGTTCTCAATTGTAAAAAATGGAATGCACTATAGTTCAGGCAGAAAAGTAATTTATTAAAGTATACTCAGTAGCTCACAGGATTGCAGAGAGGGTCAGAGACAACACAGCAAAAGCAAAGCACAGATTATGCTGGAGCACTACGTGGCCAGACCTTGTGGACATAGACTCTGCAGCTCACCGTGAACCAGAAGGTAGTCCTGGAAACTTTGCCACTGCTGCTTCTGAAAGCTGTATGTGGCTGCCACCAAACTCGTTAGAATGCATTCTGTATGGGGCCTACTTCTTTACGTTTGTGTTAGTTTTCAGTGTGTAACAAATTACCACAAACTTGGTTGCCTAAAACCACAGAAATTTATTCTCTCATAATTCTGAAGGTCAGAAGTCCAAAATCAGGTATCATTGGGTTGAAATCAAGGTGCTGGCAGGGTTGTGCTCTCTCTCTGGAGGCCCTAGAGGAGAACCCATTTCTTCCTTTCTAGCTTCTGGGGTCTACCAGCATTCTTTGGTTTGTGGCTGCATAACCAGAATCTTTAGGGCCAACATCTTCAAATCCCTCTCTGGCCCATCTTTATATGACTTCCTTATTTGCATGCATGTTGAATTTCCCTCTGCCTCCCTCTTTTAAGGATACATGTGATTGCATGTGAGGCCCACCTGGATAATGCAGGATAATTTCCTCATCTCAACATCCTTAACTGAATCCCATCTGCAAAGACTTTACCATATAAGGTAACATTCAGATTCCAGGGATTAAGATCTGATATCTGTAGGGACTACTCTTCAGCCTAGGACAGTGTCATTTGCTTCTGAATCAAAGTCTCACTTGTACAGATCTCATTGGTGGAGCCCATGTCCAATGCCTGCTTCTGAGCTGCAAGGGAGGCTGGGAAGTAGCTTCATGTTAGGAAAGGTGTTCAAAGATGAAAGCAACCAAAATGAATCTCAAATATCAAGTAAAATAGTCTTCAAAGATACATAAAAATGAAATTCTATGTAATGGACCAGCCAGAATCTTTAAACTGAAAGAAGTTACCTATTGCTGAATGCTTTGGGCACCAAATGTCAAGCCATGCAAGCATTGCTAAGGAAAGACCATCCACCTAGAAAACAATTTTCTTTTACTCTGGGATGGGGGTGGAGGTGGTGGTGGTGAAAACAAAAACAAAAACAAAAACCAAACAAACAAAAAAACCAAAGTAAAAACATGAGAAATGGATTTAGGGTCCTGTTCTTTTTTTGCTCCCAGGAAATATCTGTTCCAGACTCCAGTATGGACAATTCGATTAGATCCTATATTTTGTTAAGAATAACATTTGGTTGTATGTCGTGGTACATCCCATTTCCTATCTGGTTTGAGGCATGTTATGCCTGTGGTGCCCCACATTGTCCAATACATTTATGGCAATAAGGACTTGGGCAATACAATGTGGACAACTTCTGTTTCCTCAACACTCTGATATGTGATTTTCAAACAAACCAAAATGACCCTTCTTGTATCTGTCCCCTTTCCCTGATACATATGTATTTCTCCATGTCAGCAATGAATTTTCCAGCCCCTCTCACCTGTATACCTGGTAAAAATAATGGTGCTAACTCTTGTTTTCCAAGTCAGTCTGTTATAAAAAAATCAGATAATCAATTAGGATCTTTTTTTTTTTTTTTTTTTGAGACGGAGTCTCGCTCTGTCGCCCAGGCTGGAGTGCAGTGGCGCGATCTCGGCTCACTGCAAGCTCCGCCTCCCGGGTTCACGCCATTCTCCTGCCTCAGCCTCCCGAGTAGCTGGGACTACAGGCGCCCACAACCACGCCCGGCTAATTTTTTGTATTTTTAGTAGAGACGGGGTTTCACCGTGGTCTCGATCTCCTGACCTTGTGATCCGCCCGCCTCGGCCTCCCAAAGTGCTGGGATTACAGGCGTGAGCCACCGCGCCCAGCCATCAATTAGGATCTTGCATGTCTTAATTGTGTTGTAACACAACACAATTAAGATGCAATGGTAGGCATCTTACAGGCTGCACCGTGTCCGCATTACTTCTCCATTGTAGGTGTGTGTACGTGTGTATTGACAAGGGCGAGAGAGCCATGTAAAAGATGACTGATATTAGCATTTAGAGCAACTACGTAGATGTCAATATAAATACATTTTGGGCTCTTATGTATAAATAATCTTCTGAAAACATTGTTTTTATTGTTGACACTTTCCTGCAGGTTTCTGAGACACACTTAAAATTCAATCTGTTCCCTTGAGCATTTTTGTGAATTTGGCAGCATAATAAAAACTTTCTTTTAGAAGGCCTGGAATCAAAGCAAAAAAAAAAAAAAAAAAAAGTTGTGGAAAAAAATGATTTTTTCTTTAACCTTGGAGGCTTCCTATTTCTTTGTTGAGAGATTTTGTTCGGGAAGGGACTGTAGTAATACGATCTGATTGACAAGGATCCCAGCTTCCCCAAACACTAGCTGAAAATTTGGGGCAAATTCCTGACCCTTTCTGGTGCTCCATTTCTTATTATAAGATGAGAATAATAACCAGGTCACCTTCTTATTTTTCAGCACCAGTTACTTTCCCCTTTCTTAGATGTGATTGGCATTTTTAGAAAAGTATATTTTAGTGCTTGTCTCTCCCTTGGGTTCTAGAGTGGTTTTGTGTACATGAAACACTGACAAAATGCCCGTCTTTCTTTTGTCCCTGAATCCCTGATTTGATGCGACCTTTTTGGTGGGGTGAGGAAGGATGGAGGAGAGCTGGAGAGGTTCTGGAAGCTTTACTCTATGAATTAATACTTCTGCTTCAGCATCATGTTGGTATTTGATCAAACGTAAAAAGCTTCAAGCTTTTAATGTCCTGCTGACACCAGTATCAACAAAGCACTGAAGCGGAAGCTTTCTGGCAGCTGATTAGAGGGAAATTTTATTTCACTAGCTTTAAGACTAAGTATACCTTTTAGTAGATCTTTCTCAAGGATAAGCTACCTTGTGTATTATAAATCAAATTCAAGAGATTTAATAAAGAACCCTAGATAATTTGGTAATATATTATCACTGTGTTTTGGAAAGGCGATAAATGACTGCTTTTTATAGTGTAATTTAAAATAATAATATGGATTACAGTTGTGTTCAGTCATGAAAGTATAATTTAGCAGTTTGGGCTTATAATAACTTTTTTTTAGTGTCCACTCTTATTTTAGATCAAGAATGGCTTACTTGGGAATGATTTATTATGCTTGCTCTCAGAGTCTAGTAGGGCTGAACATGTGTTTAATTGGAATTTTATGTTGTTTTGTTGGAAAAGCTTCCCACAAAAATGAAATGGAAAGCTGGGGACAAAAAGATGGCTAAATAGTGAGCCATTCCAATATCAAAAGCATGTTCCATGTTTGCAAGCTTGCTGTATCAGTAGGGGCTGTCCAGGAAATGGGTGGCTTGCTGGAAGTGGTCACCAGAGAGAGTTTACTAAAGGGACTACTGTATTTATAAAGGTGTGAAAAGGTTAAAGGAAGTAACAAGGGATGATGAACTACCCCTTCCCCCGCCAGCTCCATGCTGCAGAGCGCCTTTACCACCCCAGGCCTGAAGAGGCAGTGTGTTTGCTGTTCCTGGATCTGGAAAACACTGAAGCTATGGAGAGGAGAAGGTGACTGGGCACTGTATCCCCAGTGGAGGAATGTGGCCAGTGCTCGGTTCCAGCAAGGCAAGGAGGGAGCCAAGGGGACCCAAACCTCCAAACTTTCTTAATTTCCATCTTCAAATCTCCTTTCCCGGCCCCACGCTGGGCTGGACCCAACCGAAAGTAGAGGGCAAGGACACCAAGGGACATCATCTGAGGCACACAGCAGGGTGAAGAAGCGTGGAGTGTGGCTTTGGAGGAATAGCCAGCATCCATACAGGACTGGAAGTGAGGAAGGGTGAATAAAACTGATGCTAAAAGACTTGGCATTTGTATTTGATATACATGTGATCAATTGGAATCTAAACTCAATGATCTTCTAGTCCCCTTTTTCTACTTTCCAGTTATTACTAGTGAAAAAAGACTCTTTTAAAGTTCTTTTTTTAAACCTGTGATTAGGTGACTTGCAGGGCTGTTTGTTTATATCTTTGATCAGGTTGGATGTAAATCACTAGCTTTTCATAAGAATGCATCAGTCTCTGGAAACATGAAGCAAAACAGAAGCAACCCAGTTCTTGCTACTATCCAGGGCCGTAGGAGGAAGTTTGGCCATTCCTAAGATCCATCAGTAAAATCAAATGGGGAACTTTGCATTTAATTGTTTGTCAGGCATTTTGTGTATCCTCTGGGGTTCCTGATTCTCCCTTCTGTACTCCCTTCCTTCAACTCCGCACTTCAGAACTCTCCTTGGGGCTTCTTTCCTATTCCACAGACCTATTTGGGTACCAGTGCATAACTGCAACTATATCTCACCTTCCCAGGTATCTGATTCAGGTGAGAAGCCTCTTTCCCTTTCTCTGATTTTATGGTCTGATAACATAGACTCTTTCATTATCCCTGGTCTACCATGACCCACATTCCTCTTAACCTCCTCCTTTCTTGCAGTGCTCTGGGGTCAGTCACACTGCAAGCCACCCAGATCAGAACTGGGAATCATGAGATTAGTTCTCATGTATTGTCACAAATTAGCCATGTATTACTGGTAAAATCAAAGAATATTTCTAAGTCTTCTGTTGTCATCTGTAAAACTGTGCTTGAAATAGATTTGTGATCTCTCAAATACTACCATGAAATAAGAGAGATGAGAGCTGGCAGAAGTGGCCTAGTTGTCTTCAAAGAAAAGGAAGGCTGTGTGGAGATGGGTTGGAACTTAAAGATCACCATTATGCCCCAGGCATCGTTCCTGGTTTCAAGTCACAGAAACATAACTCTTTTCTGGACCAGGGGATGCCATGCTTTGGCTTATTCAACTAAACACCTGCAAAAGCTGAGGTAGATGTCATAATGCCAATATATGACTGTTCTGCCATCTAAGAAAGCCTGGTGTCCCTGTTGTGGAATCACTGCACCATGACAAGTTCCTCAGGTCTAGACCCCCTTTCTGGTGAGACTGCGCACACCTGTGCACCTCCTATAGCAATGTTCCAGAGCTGCCACTGCCCAAACAAAATCATACATGAGACTGAGGAGGACATCACAATGTCAGTTTATTAATTTACAAGGAGGAATAAAATGTTTAGGAATATACCTAACCAAGGAGGTGAAAGACCTCTACAAGGAAAGCTACAAAACACTGCTGAAAGAAAGCATACATGACACAAATGACTGGGAACACATACCATGTTCATGGATAGGTAGAATTAATATTGTGAAAATGACCATACTGCCAAAAGCAATCTAAAAATTCAATGCATTTCCCATCAAAATGCTACCATCATTCTTCACAGAACTAGAAAAAAATCCTAAAATTCGTATGGAACCAAAAAAGAACCCACAGAGCCAAAGCAAGACTAAGCAAAAACAACAAATCTGGAAGCATCACATTATCTGACTTCAAACTATACTATAAGGCCATAGTCACCAAAACAGCATGGTACTGGTATAAAAATAGTCAAAGGAATAGAGGAACAAAGGAATAGACCAAAGGAACAGAATAGAGAACTCAGAAATAAAGCCAAATACTTACAGCCAACTGCCTTCTGGTTCTCTATCTCTCCCTCCCCACAGTTCTGATGTCTACAGGGACAAGAACTCACTGTTTCCTAAATCTGTGAGTCGAGTTTCCAGCTCCTACCAAGCTCTGTATACTAAGAAGATAAAGAGTAAAGTTTAAATAATTTCTTAGAAGTAGGAACTCAAGGAGCTCAAGTTAATTCACAAACCACTGTGCGAAGACAATAATAAAGTTACAGTTTCAGGGCTGGGGGGGCCAGGAGAAAACATTACAAATGGTCCTTTAACAATTTGCAAATTGCTGTATTATATTAAAAATATATTTATTTGAAAAATATCCAGAACATATACATTGAATCTAATATAAATAAGAGACTTAATGGGAGAAACATAAACACATTTTACATTAATCTTGAAAAATCAATTTCCATTAATAAATAGAAGCACAGGAAACAAGCTGAAAATAGCATAGATCAGGGTGTCTTTTTCTTTTTTTGAAGGAAAAAGATGATATTGCTGTTCATAATTACAAAAAATGGATGATAATATCTTAAATGAGTTAACTTTGGTCCATCATGCTTACTTCATGGTGTGAAGAAAACAGCACTTGAATGATTTTTTTCCTTAATTTGTTCTAAATTACAGCAAAGTGCTCTGCAAGAAACAAGTGCTTGTGTTAATTAATTCTGAGTAAAGAAGGTCACCGGTATACGTAGGGCTCATTTTGTGGTTTCAGTTATTGGCATTCTTCTGCAATTAGAATTCGTCATTAGGTATTAGAGGCACATGCATAGTTTCACTTTTTTAAATCCAGAATTTCAGATTTAGGCACATTTTAAAATTTTTCTCTAAAAATATTCTGACCCCAAGCTAAAAACTTGCTTTCTAACTCAAAAAATACTAAAGAAAGCTGTTTTATCTAACATTTCTTACAATTTAATACATATTACTTATATTGTTAAGGCTTTGTCTACTTCTGACAGAATTAATCAGTCTCCTCTCCTTTTTTTTTCTGATTCTCTTCCTCTTGATATTATTTATGTCACATTGCATTGCACTTATCATTTACATATTCCTCTCCCCGAGACTGAGTTCCATGAGGGGAGAGATGGGGTGTTATTGGTATTTATAGCCTCCGAGCACATGACACTCTCTGGGCCACAATAGGCTCTAAATAAATGTTTACTGATCAGAATTGTTTATTAATATATTTTAAGTGCTGCCCATATACATTAACATAACAGTGCTTGCTAAGATACGTTAAAGTATGTAAGACTTCCCCATTTAGGTTTTCACTTTCTAAATCAGGGGTTGGCAAACTTCCTGTAAAGGTCCAGAAAGTAAGTATTTTAGGCTTTGCAGGCCATTCGGTCTCTGTTGCAACCACACAGCTCTGTCACGGAAGCATGAAAGCAGTCATGCACAGTATGTGAGCGAATGCGGAATGGCAGTGTCCCAGTAACCTGATTTCCAAAATGGGCTGCAGGCTGGATTTGGCCCTGCCAACTCCTGCTCTAAATCTTCATTTTGAAAGGTGGGGAAAGAGGTAATAAATAGTCCAGGCATGTATCTTGATAATCACTACAGTCAAAGTTTCTAATAAATGTTGGCAATAAGAATCATGATGTACATGCCATTTTGGAAATGTCTCCCAATTTTTCTTCTCTAAGAACAAAATGGAAATGAAGTGAGTTTTTCCCTGCCGTACCCTATTAATACTAAGGCATAAGGTTGTAGGGGATAAGCAGGAGTATGAGAATTAGAAGTACTGATAAGACAGGGAAGTGACACAAAAGAAGAATGCAGAGAAAAGAGAGCAGATGGAAGTCAGTGTGGCCTGCAGCAAGATGTGTCTGGGTCCTAATCCTACAGCGGATGGTGTGTTAGGTAGGTTGGAGACACACAGGGTTTTGCACTGCTTCTCATCTGAGACAAGAGAGAAAAAACATCATATAGCAGTGGTCCTCAAACTTTTTGGCTAGCATACAAAATTGCTAAAATAATTGTGAAAGAAGGCATTTCGCTTCACGAATTTCTAAGTTGACAGCCAAAATTTTTTATAATTAGGATGCAATTTTCAGAATATTATAAATAATGACGTGTAAAAATAAAAGTGCCTTATCGCCCTTTTAATATAGCCAATGGAATAATATCATAGCAAAATGTTAACTTTGTATATTGAAATGATTTTAGGTTTATAGAAAAATTGCCAACTTAGTCCAGAGAGTTCCTGTACAGCCTCCCTCAGCTTCTTCTAACGGTACATCTCACAAAACCATGGTATAATCATCAAAACAAATAAACTAATACTGGTACAATACTATTAATTAAGCCACAGACTTTATTTTACTTTCCCATTTTCCCATAAAGTCCATTTTCTGTTCCAGGATCCAGTTTAGGATTTCAACTTGCATGTAGTTGTCATGTCTCTTTAGTGTCCTCCAATCCTTGACATTTCCTCAATCTTTCCTTTCTTTCATGACCTGGACACTTTTGAAGTGATCATTTATCTTGTGGAATGTCCCTCAACTTGGATTTATCTAATGTTTTTTCATGATTAAGTTGAGATTATGCATTTTGGGGAGGATACCAAAGAAGTCATGTGCCCTCCTCAGTGCCATACCAGGGGGTACATGATGCTGATGTGGCTTATTACTGCTTCTGTTAACCTTGATCCCTTGATTAAAGAAGTTTCTTTACTGTAAAGTTATTACTTTCCCTTTGTAATTAGTGATTATTTTGGGGGGAATACTGTAAGGTTATGCAAATATTCTGTTTCTCCTCAAACATTCACCCCCTAACTTTTGCACCAACTTGTAGGTCTTGCCAACAACAATTATTATTGTTGTGTTTTCCTGATAGTGATTTTTGTTTCTCCCATTTCTTCTACATTTATTAATTGGAATTTGCTGGGGAGAAGAACTGTGTCTTCTTTTCATTCTTTCATTCACTCATTCAATTGTTTACATCAGTATGGACACACAGATATGTATTGTATGGGTTATAATCCAATATTATCATTTTTTATTTTTTGCTCAAATTGTTCCAACATTTCCACTGGAGAGCTCCTTCAGGTTGGTTCCTGTGCCCTTTGGACATGCCCCATCTTTCTGTGAGCACCTCCTTATTTTCTGCCGTCACAAGATATTCCAGTTTCATCTTGTGTTTTCCTGCCTTAGACCTGCAATCAACTACTTTCTCAAGAAGCCTAAGTTCCTTTGACTGGAGATACTACAACAATTTGAGTTCTATCATAATCTATTTAAAAATAGAAATACACAGCAGTCAGAGATATTACTTTCTTTTAATCTTGTATTTCCATTCCAACTCCCCCCCAGAATTTTATCCTAATGAAATATACTTTTATTTGTGAAATATTTTATTCATTACCTTATCATATTTTCCTGCAGTAAAAATATGTATATAAATTAAAATTATTTTTTAAGAAGTCCCTGTGAACATAGGCTCTAAGTATTATACATTTTCTTCTACATTGAGTTGTCATTTCAATTATTGTTAGTATACAATTGATCAGAACAAAATAAATATGTTACAAAGATTAAAATAAGATCAGTATATGTCCAACTAAAATGATAGCAAATGGATCTCTTAATGAAATGGATGTATCACAGATAAAAATTAATTAGCATTAGTTAAAAATTACTAGTATAAATCAAGCTTCAGCATCAATTCCGTTCTCTCTTTCCTTTTTTTGTAGGTATACATGCTGAGAAACTCTGGTAGAAATTGCTGGTGCTAACTGTAGTCAGTTATCCTCTTTTTCCTGAGCACACAAAGCAGAAGACTTCCTGGACTTCCTTTCAGTTAGCTTAGGTCATGTGACTAGTTCCAGCCAATGACACACGAGTGGAAGTGCCAAGTGTTTCTTCCTGAACCCGGGAACTTAACAGTTCTCTAGTGCCAAAGCAGCACTGGAAGCCCCATGTTCTGGAGGTAGGACACAGCCTGGACCTGTGAGCTACTGCTTGGAGGCAAGCGTCCTGACCATAGCAGGCTTCGCATGATCAATAAATTAACTTCTGAGTTTTGTTTTTAACCACTGGTATTGCAGGGTTTGTTTCCACAGCATACTCTAACTTATCTTAACATGGAAACTTTGTTCATATTAAATAGGTAGATGGGAATAAAAGGAGGTTTGTTATAACGATATCCCTCTATTATTTGAATTCCTTTCTCATAGGTGCCAAAAAAAAATCAGTGATTCTACATTAAAAAATTTTTCTATCATCTATCAGCTAACTGTTTGATTATGTCCTCCTTCAGTTTTTTGTAACACAAAGAACTGGAAGCACCCTACTTGCAAAATGATTTGTTACCCAGTCATTAGAATGATTCATGTCAATTTCCTACAAGTAAAATTAAAAGGCTTTACTAAGACCCTTCAAGTAACTGTTCATTATGCCTGTTACTGTCTCACTTACAGGCACCTTGCTTTACCTAATATACAAATGAAGGCTGGGAAAAGTAAAATATCAATTCATTATAGTTCGGTCAATACTATTTTCTATTAAAATGCCTTTATCATATTACAAGCTTTAATCAGAACACAAGAGCAGCAGATTTAGTTCATTCAATTAACACAAAATGTTCATCATGAAACTTAAATGGGTAAAGTCAATCCTTGTTGTCAAACCAATGAGCCAAATAAAAAAAAAGTTCAGAAAAGGTCTGAATTCATTTTTCAGTTCAAAGAAGCTTGTTAATACTGATCCTCACAACTCACATAGAAATCTAAGATAAATCAAGCCTTGGGACTTTCTTCTGGATAACATAATATGTTAGGTTCTTAGCAACACACACTTCACTTTGCTTTCACCAGACTTTTTCTATAGCATGTTCTCTGACAATAGTCAGGTAATAGATGAGATAAATTCTCAAATGAAGGTGGTTAGCACTCCAGCTGTTCCACTGTATAATACATATTAATTCAGAATATGAACATGGGGCAAAATAACTCATTTCTAAGTCATTGCTTCAACTTTAACAGAAAAATGTTCTAACACAGAAAAAGACATGAGGATCTACAGAATGAGTTTATGATTTCTTTATTAAAAGAAGCTTCACTGACATCAATACTTTGAATATTTTTCTTTGGAGCCATGGAGGATTTTCCCATAGTAAGATCTGAAATGAAAGCCATTTCTTTTTCTTTTTAAAGGTAGAGAAAGGCATTTGTGTAAAGAGAGGTGGGAAAGAAGAACCAGGTGTGCTCTCAGGCAAATCAGTTATAAGAAAAAAATATACATGAAGATTCTGGAAATTAAGTTTCTTAAAATACCCATGCTCCTGTATTCCTAAGGCATGTGTCCCCAGTTCGAAGACTGTTGACTTAGAGGATGTATTTCAACAGCCTGTGGAAGCTCCATAATGAATCAAAGATGGGTCTCAAGTTAACATCCTCTGTCAGCCACAGATTGGAGGCCCATGGAGGACTCCAGGCCTTAGGAGACAGAGGGCTGGCTATATAGGAGGAGCATGGACCCATGAATGACTGAATAGAGCAAAGTCCTCTTGCCAGCCCATGGAGGTGTGGGTGAGAAATAAACCTTTGCTGTGTTAATCCACCAAGACTGTGGGATTGTTTGCTAGGGCATTTTGCCTTTCTGTACTAAAAGAGTAGCTAATGGTAGCTAATAGGATCTCACCACTGCAGGGGTGAAGTGACTGCCTTGTAGCCAAGAACTGCAGTGTCCAGATAGGGAATTCAACAGGAGACACAGTCACTTCTCATGAGATAAGACAGCACCAGGGACAGCCAGAATGAGGCCAAATCAAAGAGAACAGACTACAGATTACAGCAACTGCAGACTTAACAGCAGGTGCCAGCAGAATTCCCAAGAGTGAGGCCAGACAGCTATTCTCAGTGGACATCAGCTAACATACATCCACCGTAAGTTATCACCTTCTCCCCTCAACACTATCAGGACACAGCAAGTTCTCATATATGCAACCACCATTTTGAAAAGAGTAAAGAAACTCCAAAAGACAATGTTTAAGTGAACATTCAGTAAACATTTAAACCTGAAAGAAGACTGTTGTAATTGTAAGAGCCCAAGATACTGTTAAATGGAAAAACCCAAGAATTTCCATTACTCAGAGTCTATAAAGATGCTCAAATTAGTTATAGAAAATAATTGACTTTTGAAAGGGCACATTATCTATGTGTGAATTTGTGATCCTGCTGTTTTTTTGGCATAAATGTAAGGAGTACAAGTGTAATTTTGTTACATAAATACAGTATGTAGTGGTAAAGTCTGGTGTAACCATCACCAAAATAGTGTATAATATACCCATTACCTGCTACTTTTTTTTTCTTTTCGTCTTATAGCTACAAAATCTAGTTCAGATTAAAAATACACATGAGGCTGGGTGCGGCGGCTCATGCCTGTAATCCCAGCACTTCGGGAGACTGGGGTGGGTGGATCACGAGGTCAGGAGATTGAGACCATCCTGGCCAGCATGGTGAAACCCTGTCTCTACTAAAAATACAAAAATTAGCTAGGCGTGGTGGTGTGCGCCTGTAATCCCAGCTACTCGGGAGGCTGAGGCAGGAAACTCGCTTGAACCAGGCAGTCGAAGGTTGCAGTGAGCTGAGATCAAGCCACTGTACTCCTGCGTGGCAACAGAGCGAGACTCCATAAAAAAAAAAAAAAAAAGTGAAAAAAAATGTCAAAAAAATTGCATATATATAAGTGTAGCAGAATACTTCAGTGCTATTTCTGCAAATTCAGTAATGGCAAGAAGTGTGTGATCTGTCCATGGGTCCAGATTCTCCGGAGGTGTTGTTCAATACTAAACACCAAAGCATGGATCATTGACAAGCAATACTGCTTATTTCTGCAAAGTCACTTTCCGAATGGTGTGTTTTGTCAAATTACTATGTGTGACTATATACCCTGACAGGAAGGCTGGTTGATTAGCAGTTTTTACAAGTCCATTGAAAAGAACAGAACTTTAATTCCACTCAAAAGATTGTTAAATTGGGCTTTTATACCATCTGGTGAGTTCAAGCCAATTATTCTTTTGAGTCATAAATACGCAACTGCCACATCATATAATATCTTTTAAAAAATGAAGTCCCAATACTTAAAAAATTATGGAAGTAGACTGTCTCAGTGTGTAAATTATTATAACAGTAGCAAAGAGCTGCTTTTGGAAGCTGGGTTAACTGCTGCAGGCCACAAGGATTCCATTCTTAGTGGTATTCTCTTCAAATTGTATTTCTAATGATGATGGTTTGCCTCCTAGAAATTCATTCATACTTTCTCTCAGAGCTCCCCCTTGTGACTAGTGGCCACTGGTTTTGAGGCAGTTGGTTGTAATAATTAAAATGCACACTCTCAGGGAGGCCCTGAGAGCCCGCAGTTTCTCTCTATCATGGAACTTTACTTCATTTTCATAACCACTTGCTATTTTCTGCATATGCATTTCTTTACTGAGTTACTGTCAGTTTTCCCTCATTAGAAAATAAGTGCCATGAAAAGATAGCCCTTACCCCAAGTTGCTCACCTTAGCATCTCTGTTTCTAGAACAGCACTTTTTTTGAGTTGGGGTCTCATTCAGTTGCCCAGGCTGGAGTGCAGTGGAGCAACCATAACTCACTGCAGCCTCCAACTTCTGGGCTCAGTTTGTTCTCTTCCCTTAGCCTCCCAAGTAGCTGGGACTACAGGTGCATGCCACCATGCCCATTACACTTTTTTCTTGATAAAATCCAATAAACAGTTATGTAATGAGTACATTTTTAGATATTGATTATGAAGCTGTTTTCTTTATAAGGAACTAAAAAAGGAAAATAAAATCTGTAATTTTTTATTTACAGACAGTATCATAATCATTATTTACCATCTACACTAAGTAGACTAATATAAAAGGAGATGGTTCCCAGAAAATAGCTTATTAAATAGAACACCTAAACTCATTTACATAATAAAGATATCTAGATTACTAATTTATTTAGTACTTCTCAACAATCGTCTGTCTGGTTCTAATGAAACTATAATTCAGATCTTTAGCTCTTCCCCTTTAAATCCAAGTTACATTTTATATCTTCCAGTTGTTAAGAGTGTTAGATATTATTCTACATCTTTAGTTTTTCAGAAAGTCCATGAGTTTTAACAGTACAACTGTTAAAGTTTCAATATATTACTTTAAGCTTATCTATAAGACATTTTAAAATATCCAACTTAGTAATCATTTAGTAATTGAAGGTTTAAGGCCACATTTTAACTATATGGTTGTTTATAAAAGTGTGCTGCTAACGAAGGTCTTTGCCATTTAAAAGAAGGTATTTTTTTCTCCTTTAGCTTGAGATGTTAGACCTAATAAAAATGAATGTCACCTTACATATCAGTTGAGAGCCCAGAACCTGTGATCCTTAAGCATAGAAATTAGTATTTTTCAAATCCTGCTATTAAAAGTGAATTCAAAAGAAACAACTAAGAATCCTCTCAGAAGCCCTTTCCTTTTCCTCTCATATACAAGATTAATTGTTTTTTGCTTCTTTCTGTCTTTCTTAATGGTATAAGTGTGGGTAAATGTCTGAATAGATACCAGATTAGTTTTAATCCCCCAAATTTTAGTAGAGACACATTAATGCAAAAACTATTACTCATATTGATTTGAGAATTTTCAATAGGGAGTTTCTTTTAATAGTTCTTGTCTTTCTGAAAAATAACCAATGCATAATTTCCCCTTTTTAAGAATGGATCACAGTTTAGGGAAATGAATAAATCAAAACCCATCTGATTTGGTTAAAATTCAAAACCAGTAATCACTTCAAGAATAATTAAAATAGTGACCCAATTCACATTCTAATAGCATGTGGGCTGTAAAGGGAAAGGCAGATGAGACTCCTGTTTAGTCTTCTTTACTCACCCTGGTGGCTGGGACATTCTCTGACCTCATTATTATTGGTCACTCTTCTCAAGATCAGAAATGAGAATATTTTCTTCTAAATGTACCGTACTAAAGTTGGTTGCAGGATAGTAAGGATTCTGAAACCCTGCAAGTCTCCCGAAGAAACCACCGTTTTGCTTGTAGATGCAGAAGGAAAGAGTGCAAATGGCCACAGTGACTATGAGTGTCAGGACTACCACAAGAGGAATGATGCTGTGACTTGGTCCTGAAAGAATATATATATATATTTTTAAAAGAAAAATGTCAATGGCGATGAAATAATGTAGATACTGTCATACAGTTGCTTTCTATCTTATTATTTCTAAGAAAAATCAAAATGTTCTGTATGGTTTCAAACGTACCTTTTTCTGGCAGCTCCTCTGCAGTGCGAATATCTAAGATCAAATACAAAAATTAAAATGAGGTTTTTCTTTTAATTCAGCAAAAATATGTCATTACTTACACAGGGATCAGCAAATTATGGTCCATGGAACAAACTGGGTCACCTGTTTTTACAAAAAATGTTTTACTGGAACTTAGCCACACTCATTCATTGATGTATCGTTACAGCTGCTTTCGTGCTACAATGGCATGTGACAGAGACCATATGGCTCCCAAAGTCTAAAATGTTTACTAGCTGGCCCTTTACAAAAAAATTTGCTGACCTTTGATTTACTGTAATCACTGTTATTAGTGCTCACAAACACACACCCTGCTTTTTTTTTTTTCTCAAGCCAAAAAGTTTTCATTCAGTTCCAGCACTGTGCTGCAATAAATATAGAGTAAAATATAAACCCTGCATACAAGGAACTCACAGTTTTGCTGGGATCTTATATGGAGTTTGTCCAGCAATGATAATCTGCCTGCCTCTTTACAAGGATTTTTAAATCAGCATCTTCTCACCTTTGTGTCTCATGGGTCTTGGGGAATGAGCAACAGCTTCTCCATCCAAAAAGTTAGAGAGTTCCTGTTTTAAAACTTTCTACTGTAAAAACACATCTTTTAAGTAGATGTTATATCAAAATGTGAACTCTTCTATTTTTGATCTAGGTAAAGATCCAGAGAAAGATATAGAGAATGAACCAGAGGAAGAAGAAGAAATGGATTTGTGAGTAAAAAAAGTGCCTTGATGTCCTACTGATGCGCATTCACTCTGATAGACATGAAAAAAATAAACACCATTACCAATAGCAAAACCATACTTTTAAAAAACAGACTTTTTTTTTTTTTTTTTTTTTTTTGAGATGAAGTCTCACTCTGTTGCCTGGGCCCGAGTGCAATGGTGCGATCTTGGCTCACTGCAACCTCTGCCCTGGGTTCAAGCAATTATCTTGCCTCAGCTTCCTTAGTATCTAGGATTACAGATATGCGCCCCTACACCCAGCTAACTTTTGTATTTTTAGTAGAGATGGGGTTTTGCCATGTTGGCCAGGTTGGTTTTGAACTCCTGACTTCAAGTGATCCACCTGCCTCTGCCTCCCAAAGTGCTGGGATTACAGGTGTGAGCCACTGCACCTGGCCCAGACTTGTTCTTTTAATATAAAAACAATGCCATTTAATGTTGCATTAAACTGTTGAAAACATGTATTATTGTGTTTTTATGAAGACACTTCTTTTAAATTGATGCATATCAGATGCACAAATTTTCAGAATACAAGTGATAATTGAATATAGTCATACACTTTATACAGTGTACTTGGGATAACCATCACTTTAAACACAAAGATACATCTTTAAGAAAGACTGTTAAGAGTGTTTGTTCTCAGAATAGATGCAGTGGGAGGCATGGAAGGAGCACTTAGAAAACTTAGAGTTTTCTCTGTAGTCCTTGATGTAGCCTCAGTTTGGACAGGCACTTTTCCCATCTGTAAAATGGGGATATTTAAATTGCTCCACAACCTTGGAAAGCTGCTACAAAGGATGAAAGAGGTGTCATCTGCATAATAGGAAGCTTTAAAGTCCTGTAAGACATGAAGTGTTTCTGATTTGTTCTTGATATTTAAACGCTAGTGATAACTTGGTCACATTATTTATCAGGCTTAGCCATGTTTTTCACACAGAGTTGAGACTCACATTGTGGGGGTTTCAGACATTGGTGCCCACACCTGCAGTGTTTTCTCCTTCATTCCCAGTATCAGATCAGTCACCAAGGCTGGTGATTCTCTCTTCCTATTTCGCCCCTCCTCTTTCATTCCTAGTTCAATTACTTAAATTACAAATGTTTCTCTTCATAGCCTCATGAGTTCTACTTCATCACAGGTGTCTACAGAGCACATAGGGGTTTGTCTCTTCCACCACAAAGTTTAGCTCTTTAGCCTGGCACTCTCTGTGAAAGGATCCTACATTACTGTCCAATTTTATTCCCATCACCCCCTAACGTGAGCCCTTTGCTCTAATTGAAATACATTCTTAGTTGCTGCCTTTAATCAGTCTGGGCCTTTTCCTCTTCTGCTCCAGCTTCTATAATTCTCTTCATCCTTTGGGATCCTAAAACCTCACGTCTGCAGCCTTCTCTAGTAGTCCAGGCCACAGCGATCCCTACTTTATAATACTGACATCTAGAAATTGCTGTAATTATTATAGACATTTTCCCACCATCAGTGATCCTCCTTAACACCCTCTCTTTGGTTGTTTGCAACTGACTAGAAGTTTCTAGCTTAGATTTCTAAAATTATTGTTTTCTTTTTTAATTACTAAACACTAAGTATGTTGCTCATGATTAAGTTAGAATGTGACTTTTAGGACACATTATGCTTGCAACAGAGAATAACATCTCCTTGTCCACAACAAATGTACATAAGCCTAGATTATATTGCCTGAGACAAAACATAAACCTTAAGAATTCTGAATAGCAGTCACCAGAATGAAGGTTGCTGGTTTACATTCCTAGTTGTATTTGCTTGAGGGAAAATGCTTTTTTGTCCATTAGGTGATCAACCAGGGTAACACAAGAAAAATCATAGTCTTTTAGCTGATTTATAATGATTTTTTTTTTTCTCCTATCAGAGAAAGAAGGAGCTGAACTATTCTCTGACTTGTTTGGTGCAGAACACGACAATAACGTCAGAATCTATCTGAATATTCTCTAAACTTGGATTTTAAAACCTTTAAATGCCGAAGAAATCAGTCACATTAGTTAAGGTAGAATCAAAATGAAGAATTACTCTCTGATTTTACCTACCTGCCTTCATTTTACATATAAAGCCCTTTTTTTCTTGACACGGGGATAGCTGCCATAATCCTTCCGGGATCCTCAGGGCAACACAATGATGGGGCTTGAAGTAGTCTGTGTCTGGCTTCCGAATGCCCCAGTTTGACTGGTCTGTGGGAGTTCCATCAAACCACTTTATGGTTTCATCTGTGAGAAAATTGCTGACTCATTATGAATTATGTGCATGGTTACCAAACATACTAAGACTGGAATTAACCATAAAAAGCACCCCCTGAATTTAAGGAGACTCTTGAACTAATACATTCAACTCAGTAAATATAGTCATGTACTCAGCATCAAAAGGTAGGCGTTAATAAAGTTGCCTCTTTATTTTAGGTACAGTGTTCTAATTTAGGTCATTTAGGTTATCATGTTTCTTAATGTGACAGTTTGAATTTTGAAATATTCCATATATATACGATCAATTTAAAGAAATCATTTGATAAACAAAACTAATTGAGTCAAGAAAAATCCTTTGAAGTCCTAACATCTTCATCATTACAAAAAGGCTCGCTTTCTAAAAAGATTTTACAGTGAATTTCTTTAATAGCAAGCCAGCCATGTACCAAAGGGGTAGGGGCGGTAGGACAGTCCATCCCATGTGTGGGCAATAGTGTATTGTCTGAAAATAATTTAAAACTAACAATACAGCTAACTAAAAGTTGGTCTGCTTTTTATTATCACCATCTGCTTGAAATTCTGAACAATGTTGGTGATTAAAATACTCCTCCTCGAAAGGGTAGGCTCACCCCCCACCTTGGTACACCACTATAACAAGCTCTCCACACCAATTAAAATAATTTTCTTCACAAGTACCTTTCAATAACCATCAATTACATAAAGAAAAGAATACCATGATTCCATTTTATTACAAACTCTGGTTTTTATGAGTAACAAATCAGAATCCTAACAGCACAGTTTATCATGGAAACATTTCCATAACTCTATCGTGCTTTTATAACATTTAGAAACCTGGGATATTTTCAAGTAAATATGGTTTTGGTATGCGGTGACTAAGTCTGTGAACACAAAGTTCCAGTCAAGCATCCTCCTGCTAAGCATAAAGATAAACATGTTATTGTTTGTTTGTTTTTATTTTTGGTGTTCTGGGATTATTTTAAAAGACAAAAGTGTAGAGAAAAGGGTTGCAGTGTTGTTTTTGGAAGAAATGGCTTTAGGCTTCATGCTATTTTTTTTTCACAGAAAATGTATCCAAGGAGAGTTTTCTGGCTCACAGATGCCATTATCATCAGCTTTAACAACCATGTATTTATTTATGTCCTCTCCTCTACCCAAATCACTTACTGTTACCATCAAATTGAGCATTCAACCAAACCATCTGGACAGAAGAACCAAAAGCAAACAGCTCTTCTAGGAGAAATGCATTTTCAGCCTCATCCTTGATTGTTAAAAGATTAGAACCTATAAGAGAGACAAGTAGCAAAGGAATATTTGTGTTTACACATAAATATACTTAAAAAAATGTTTCCTATACCATTATTTGTAAAGCTCAGGTTTTGAAAAGTGAAAATTTCCATTGTAAATAAGATACTTTAAATTAAAAAAGTAAAACCACAGTTTTAAAAAGATATAAGCTTGCACTTCAGAAGTTAAGGCATAGAATATTAATTTTAGGGAACATTCAAAATTCATAATGCAAATGCATGCAAAAGGAGCGTTTTCTTCAGAAAGTGCAGTGTGCTGAGACATCATCTCAGGTTTCCAAATTTACACTGGACACTGTTTCATAGAGTAGCCGTCCTCCAAACAAGAAATGTTAATAGTATTTATTTTTTCAATAGTTTTTGTTGCTTCTAAAGTCACTAAATAATGGGATGAATAAAGAAATCCACATTGTTTACTGAAATGGCAAGAAAGAGCACATGAAAGCATTTTTACCATCACAAAAACAATTACCTTCCTTTTTGCAAAATTCATGAGCAGCCTCAAAACTCATACTGTCTAGGACTGTAGAAAAACTGTAGCAATTACTTTTAAATTTTATCCAGGGAATAGATGTTTCGGAGCACAACTCTGGGTGTTCAGATGGTCTTGTTTCTGTGAAGAAAAACCAGTTATGATTTCAGGGTGGTGACTGGGTTTATTTATTGAGATAAATATTATACTACATTTTATAAAAGACCAAGCTAAATATGTGTAACAAGATTTTCATGGTAATACTCCAAAAGATTGGGTTTCATGTAAATGATTATAAAACTACGACCAGTTTATAGCATTTCTGACAGAAAGAATCTTTACATAAACATAACAAAATATGCTAATGCACAGCTTTGTAGGCTTAGTTTGGGTGCTGCCTGGGTGAGCGTGGCTCTTTCATGTTTACAGTTAGCATCCTAAAGGTTGGAACAAGCAGGGGCTATGACTCCCAGAGAGAGTGGCAGCTGACTGACGCTGGCAAAAGAGATTTCCAAATGTATGCATTTCATGCAGTGCCGTGTATCACAGATTTGAAAAGTCCTTACCCACTAATAAACCTATGAAAGAAAATAATGCATTCAATAAAGTATCATAATGTAGCATAACATAAAATAAATAAGGGAACTCCAGGGGGATTTTATTTCAGAGAGCCAGCATGAGAGTTAGACACATCCATGCTGAGATCCCGGCTCCACCACTTATTAGCTGCGTGGCCATGGGCATGTTACCTTGCACTTGGTTTCTTTATAAAAGAGAGCTAACAACAAAACCTTTAAAAATATTTTTTTTAAATTACAGAAAACTTTTTAAGAGACAAAGTCTCACTCTGTCACCTAGGCTGAAGTGCAGTGGCACAATCATAGCTCACTGCAGCCTCAAACTCCTGGATTCAAGTGATCCTCCAGCCTCAGCCTCCCAAGTAGCAGACTACAGGCACGCACCACCAAGCTCAGATAATTGATTTTTTTTTTTTTTTTTTTTTTTGTAGAGAAAGAGTCTCACTGTGTTAACCAAGCTGGTCTCAAGCTCCTGGTCTGAAGAGGTCCTCCTGCTCCTGCCTCCCAAAGTGCTGCGATTACTAGTGTATGCCACACAGCCACCTTCCTTACAAGTTGAGAAGTTTCAATGAGTTAAAGCCTGACACTTCTGAAGCATTCAATAAATGCATTGTTATTGAAAGGACAAGATTCCAAGAAAAGGCAAGAGCTAACAACAACAACAAAAAGCGGGGGGAAGGGGGAAGGACAGCTTTTATGGTGTTTTAGAAGCACAATTAGCTTTTCCAAGATACATGTGGCTATCATTTATATTTAATCTGGATTGTTTTGATCTAAAGATATATAATTTGTATGTTATTTGATACAGTACCCAGAATGCAAGTAAATACACGCACTTTTACTAAATGAGAGATTTAAAAGGAGGCCAGCTTGTGTTAGCGAATTCTGTGCAGGAAACCTGATTTCTACTCTTGGTACTGGTGATGGACAGCTGTGAGACACTTAGGAAGCTATTTAATGCTCTGAATTTACATTTCATTTTTAATAAAGGGGTTAGGACAGGTGAACTTTAAGTGTAAATGAGATATTATGTAAAGTGCAGAGCCAGATAGCTACAAAATATCCAAAAAATATCACCATCATCTTATTGTAGCTCTGGAATCCTATCCATCTTTGATTTAAACTTGAATCCTCAAAGTCCTCCACACATGCTTGAAGCCCATGTTTCTCATCTAATTTCCCACCCCTCCCTTACGCCTAACCTGCATTCAGGCAAATTCCAACATCGGCTTTGCCGGACATCCTAGTCCTGCCTTCCTTCCCCATTTTCATCCAGCTTTTCTGCTCAGAATGCCTTTCCATGTCCCATTATTAGCCATCTACACCCACTCATTTATCAAGGCCCATCTGCACTGCCGAGTCCTTCAAGAAGCCTTTCTACCTTTCTCCAAATGGATACAATGCATTCTGTTTCTTGATAACCCCCACAACATTTGCTACCTCTCTTGTATCATTTTGTAGTTCTGTTTTTCTTTACATCACCCACCAGACCAGAGGCTTCTTGAAGACAGAGACTTCTTACTATACTCATCCTCATATCCCTTGCTTAGCATAGTGCCTTGCATACAGTAGTTACATAGGGTATATTTTTTTTTTTTTTTTTTTTTTTTTTTTTTTTTTTTTTTAATTTATTTATTATTATTATACTTTAAGTTGTAGGGTACATGTGCATAACGTGCAGGTTTGTTACATATGTATACTTGTGCCATGTTGCTGTGCTGCACACATCAACTCGTCATTTACATCAGGTATAACTCCCAATGCAATCCCTCCCCCCTCCCCCCTCCCCATGATAGGCCCCGGTGTGTGATGTTCCCCTTCCTGAGTCCGAGTGATCTCATTGTTCAGTTCCCACCTATGAGTGAGAACATGCGGTGTTTGGTTTTCTGTTCTTGTGATAGTTTGCTAAGAATGATGGATTCCAGCTGCATCCAAGTCCCTACAAAGGACTCAAACTCATCCTTTTTTATGGCTGCATAGTATTCCATGGTGTATATGTGCCACATTTTCTTAATCCAATCTGTCACTGATGGACATTTGGGTTGATTCCAAGTCTTTGCTATTGTGAATAGTGCTGCAATAAACATACGTGTGCATGTGTCTTTATAGCAGCATAATTTATAATCCTTTGGGTATATACCCAGTAATGGGATGGCTGGGTCATATGGTACATCTAGTTCTAGATCCTTGAGGAATCGCCATACTGTTTTCCATAATGGTTGAACTAGTTTACAATCCCACCAACAGTGTAAAAGTGTTCCTATTTCTCCACATCCTCTCCAGCACCTGTTGTTTCCTGACTTTTTAATGATTGCCATTCTAACTGGTGTGAGATGGTATCTCATTGTGGTTTTGATTTGCATTTCTCTGATGGCCAGTGATGATGAGCATTTTTTCATGTGTCTGTTGGCTGTATGAATGTCTTCTTTTGAGAAATGTCTGTTCATGTCCTTTGCCCACTTTTTGATGGGGTTGTTTGTTTTTTTCTTGTAAATTTGTTTGAGTTCTTTGTAGGTTCTGGATATTAGCCCTTTGTCAGATGAGTAGATTGCAAAAATTTTCTCCCATTCTGTAGGTTGCCTGTTCACTCTGATGGTAGTGTCTTTTGCTGTGCAGAAGCTCTTTAGTTTAATGAGATCCCATTTGTCAATTTTGGCTTTTGCTGCTGTTGCTTTTGGTGTTTTAGACATGAAATCTTTGCCCATGCCTATGTCCTGAATGGTACTACCTAGGTTTTCCTCTAGGATTTTTATGGTATTAGGTCTAACATTTAAGTCTCTAATCCATCTTGAATTAATTTTCGTATAAGGAGTAAGGAAAGGATCCAGTTTCAGCTTTCTACTTATGGCTAGCCAATTTTCCCAGCACCATTTATTAAATAGGGAATCCTTTCCCCATTTCTTGTTTCTCTCAGGTTTGTCAAAGATCAAATGGCTGTAGATGTGTGGTATTATTTCTGAGGACTCTGTTCTGTTCCATTGGTCTATATCTCTGTTTTGGTACCAATACCATGCTGTTTTGGTTACTGTAGCCTTGTAGTATAGTTTGAAGTCAGGTAGCGTGATGCCTCCAGCTTTGTTCTTTTGACTTAGGATTGTCTTGGAGATGCGGGCTCTTTTTTGGTTCCATATGAACTTTAAAGCAGTTTTTTCCAATTCTGTGAAGAAACTCATTGGTAGCTTGATGGGGATGGCATTGAATCTATAAATTACCTTGGGCAGTATGGCCATTTTCACAATATTGATTCTTCCTATCCATGAGCATGGTATGTTCTTCCATTTGTTTGTGTCCTCTTTGATTTCACTGAGCAGTGGTTTGTAGTTCTCCTTGAAGAGGTCCTTTACATCCCTTGTAAGTTGGATTCCTAGGTATTTTATTCTCTTTGAAGCAATTGTGAATGGAAGTTCATTCCTGATTTGGCTCTCTGTTTGTCTGTTACTGGTGTATAAGAATGCTTGTGATTTTTGCACATTAATTTTGTATCCTGAGACTTTGCTGAAGTTGCTTATCAGCTTAAGGAGATTTTGGGCTGAGACAATGGGGTTTTCTAAATATACAATCATGTCATCTGCAAACAGGGACAATTTGACTTCTTCTTTTCCTATCTGAATACCCTTGATTTCTTTCTCTTGCCTGATTGCCCTAGCCAGAACTTCCAACACTATGTTGAATAGGAGTGGTGAGAGAGGGCATCCCTGTCTTGTGCCAGTTTTCAAAGGGAATTTTTCCAGTTTTTGCCCATTCAGTATGATATTGGCTGTGGGTTTGTCATAAATAGCTCTTATTATTTTGAGGTACGTTCCATCAATACCGAATTTATTGAGCGTTTTTAGCATGAAGGGCTGTTGAATTTTGTCAAAAGCCTTTTCTGCATCATTGAGATAATCATGTGGTTCTTGTCTTTGGTTCTGTTTATATGCTGGATTATGTTTATTGATTTGCGAATGTTGAACCAGCCTTGCATCCCAGGGATGAAGCCCACTTGATCATGGTGGATAAGCTTTTTGATGTGTTGCTGAATCCGGTTTGCCAGTATTTTATTGAGGATTTTTGCATCGATGTTCATCAGGGATATTGGTCTAAAATTCTCTTTTTTTGTTGTGTCTCTGCCAGGCTTTGGTATCAGGATGATGTTGGCCTCATAAAATGAGTTAGGGAGGATTCCCTCTTTTTCTATTGATTGGAATAGTTTCAGAAGGAATGGTACCAACTCCTCTTTGTACCTCTGGTAGAATTCAGCTGTGAATCCATCTGGTCCTGGACTTTTTTTGGTTGGTAGGCTATTAATTGTTGCCTCAATTTCAGAGCCTGCTATTGGTCTATTCAGGGATTCAACTTCTTCCTGGTTTAGTCTTGGAAGAGTGTAAGTGTCCAGGAAATTATCCATTTCTTCTAGATTTTCCAGTTTATTTGCGTAGAGGTGTTTATAGTATTCTCTGATGGTAGTTTGTATTTCTGTGGGGTCGGTGGTGATATCCCCTTGATCATTTTTAATTGCGTCGATTTGATTCTTCTCTCTTTTCTTCTTTATTAGTCTGGCTAGTGGTCTGTCAATTTTGTTGATCTTTTCAAAAAACCAACTCCTGGATTCATTGATTTTTTGGAGGGTTTTTTGTGTCTCTATCTCCTTCAGTTCTGCTCTGATCTTAGTTATTTCTTGCCTTCTGCTAGCTTTCGAATGTGTTTGCTCTTGCTTCTCTAGTTCTTTTAATTGCGATGTTAGAGTGTCAATTTTACATCTTTCCTGCTTTCTCTTGTGGGCATTTAGTGCTATAAATTTCCCTCTACACACTGCTTTAAATGTGTCCCAGAGATTCTGGTATGTTGTATCTTTGTTCTCATTGGTTTCAAAGAACATCTTTATTTCTGCCTTCATTTCGTTATGTACCCAGTAGTCATTCAGGAGCAGGTTGTTCAGTTTCCATGTAGTTGAGCGGTTTTGAGTGAGTTTCTTAGTCCTGAGTTCTAGTTTGATTGCACTGTGGTCTGAGAGACAGTTTGTTATAATTTCTGTTCTTGTACATTTGCTGAGGAGTGCTTTACTTCCAATTACGTGGTCAATTTTGGAGTAAGTATGATGTGGTGCTGAGAAGAATGTATATTCTGTTGATTTGGGGTGGAGAGTTCTATAGATGTCTATTAGGTCTGCTTGCTGCAGAGATGAGTTCAATTCCTGGATATCCTTGTTAACTTTCTGTCTCGTTGATCTGTCTAATGTTGACAGTGGAGTGTTGAAGTCTCCCATTATTATTGTATGGGAGTCTAAGTCTCTTTGTAAGTCTCTAAGGACTTGCTTTATGAATCTGGGTGCTCCTGTATTGGGTGCATATATATTTAGGATAGTTAGCTCTTCCTGTTGAATTGATCCCTTTACCATTATGTAATGGCCTTCTTTGTCTCTTTTGATCTTTGATGGTTTAAAGTCTGTTTTATCAGAGACTAGTATTGCAACCCCTGCTTTTTTTTGTTCTCCATTTGCTTGGTAAATCTTCCTCCATCCCTTTATTTTGAGCCTATGTATGTCTCTGCGTGTGAGATGGGTCTCCTGAATACAGCAGACTGATGGGTCTTGACTCTTTATCCAGTTTGCCAGTCTGTGTCTTTTAATTGGAGCATTTAGTCCATTTACATTTAAGGTTAATATTGTTATGTGTGAACTTGATCCTGCCATTATGATATTAACTGGTTATTTTGCTCATTAGTTGATGCAGTTTCTTCCTAGCCTCAATGGTCTTTACATTTTGGCATGTTTTTGCAATGGCTGGTACCGGTTGTTCCTTTCCATGTTTAGTGCTTCCTTCAGGATCTCTTGTAAGGCAGGCCTAGTGGTGACAAAATCTCTAAGCATTTGCTTATCTGTAAAGGATTTTATTTCTCCTTCACTTATGAAACTTAGTTTGGCTGGATATGAAATTCTGGGTTTAAAATTCTTTTCTTTAAGAATGTTGAATATTGGCCCCCACTCTCTTCTGGCTTGTAGAGTTTCTGCTGAGAGATCTGCTGTTAGTCTGATGGGCTTCCCTTTGTGGGTAACCCGACCTTTCTCTCTGGCTGCCCTTAAGATTTTTTCCTTCATTTCAACTTTGGTGAATCTGGCAATTATGTGTCTTGGAGTTGCTCTTCTCGAGGAGTATCTTTGTGGCGTTCTCTGTATTTCCTGGATTTGAATGTTGGCCTGCCCTACTAGGTTGGGGAAGTTCTCCTGGATGATATCCTGAAGAGTGTTTTCCAACTTGGTTCCATTTTCCCCCTCACTTTCAGGCACCCCAATCAGACGTAGATTTGGTCTTTTTACATAATCCCATACTTCTTGCAGGCTTTGTTCATTTCTTTTTCTTCTTTTTTCTTTTGGTTTCTCTTCTCGCTTCATTTCATTCATTTGATCCTCAATCGCTGATACTCTTTCTTCCAGTTGATCAAGTCGGTTACTGAAGCTTGTGCATTTGTCACGTATTTCTCGTGTCATGGTTTTCATCTCTTTCATTTCGTTTAGGACTTTCTCTGCATTAATTACTCTAGCCATCAATTCTTCCACTTTTTTTTCAAGATTTTTAGTTTCTTTGCGCTGGGTACGTAATTCCTCCTTTAGCTCTGAGAAATTTGATGGACTGAAGCCTTCTTCTCTCATCTCATCAAAGTCATTCTCCGTCCAGCTTTGATCCGTTGCTGGCGATGAGCTGCGCTCCTTTGCCGGGGGAGATGCGCTCTTATTTTTGGAATTTCCAGCTTTTCTGCCCTGCTTTTTCCCCATCTTTGTGGTTTTATCTGCCTCTGGTCTTTGATGATGGTGATGTACTGATGGGGTTTTGGTGTAGGTGTCCTTCCTGTTTGATAGTTTTCCTTCTAACAGTCAGGACCCTCAGCTGTAGGTCTGTTGGAGATTGCTTGAGGTCCACTCCAGACCCTGTTTGCCTGGGTATCAGCAGCAGAGGCTGCAGAAGATAGAATATTTCTGAACAGCGAGTGTACCTGTCTGATTCTTGCTTTGGAAGCTTCCTCTCAGGGGTGTACTCCACCCTGTGAGGTGTGGGGTGTCAGACTGCCCCTAGTGGGGGATGTCTCCCAGTTAGGCTACTCAGGGGTCAGGGACCCGCTTGAGCAGGGAGTCTGTCCCTTCTCAGATCTCAACCTCCGTGTTGGGAGATCCACTGCTCTCTTCAAAGCTGTCAGACAGAGTCGTTTGCGTCTGTGCAGAGGTGTCTGTGTGTCTTAGTTTACTGTGCCCTGTCCCCAGAGGTGGAGTCTACAGAGACAGGCAGGTTTCCTTGAGCTGCTGTGAGCTCCACCCAGTTCGAGCTTCCCAGCAGCTTTGTTTACCTACTTAAGCCTCAGCAATGGCGGGCGCCCCTCCCCCAGCCTCGCTGCTGCCTTGCCGGTAGATCACAGACTGCTGCGCTAGCAACGAGGGAGGCTCCGTGGGTGTGGGACCCTCCCGGCCAGGTGTGGGATATGATCTCCTGGTGTGCCTGTTTCCTAAAGCGCAGTATTGGGGTGGGAGTTACCCGATTTTCCAGGTGTTGTGTGTCTCAGTTCCCCTGGCTAGGAAAAGGGACTCCCTTCCCCCTTGCGCTTCCCAGGTGAGGCGATGCCTCGCCCTGCTTCAGCTCTCGCTGGTCGGGCTGCAGCAGCTGACCAGCTCCGATCGTCCGGCACTCCCCAGTGAGATGAACCCAGTACCTCAGTTGAAAATGCAGAAATCACCGGTCTTCTGTGTCGCTCGCGCTGGGAGTTGGAGACTGGAGCTGCTCCTATTCGGCCATCTTGCTCCGCCTCCGACTCATGTGTTCCCATAGGGTATATTTTTGAGTTGAATAGAATTGTACCTACCAGGGGGCACATGACAAATGGCACCTTGCAGAAATGACTCACAGGCTGTGCTATGCCAGCGTCCGTTGGTGTCGGCAAAAACGCAGTCACCATGGAGGGAGGACTCCTCGTCTTTCCAAAAAGTGAAAGAGGATTTGGTGCCATCAGACCAGTCAAAATTAAGACCATTCTGTGGAGGAAAACTGAGCCATCATTTCCTTGCCATGACTGCTGGCAGCATCACCCAATGTTATCTGAGCATACTACAATTCCCACATCGATTGCTATTTTCACACACCTGTTTAAAGAGGGGCGAGGACATCTGTGAATACAGCTTGACAAACACGAATATCTGCCACAAATGAGATCTTTTTTGATTTGTAGGAATTCTTGGCTCCCTGCCACTATGATTTTCTAGTAAGCAATCAGCGTGAAATTGGACCAGTACCTTGTCTTTTACAGTGAAATACATTTCAGATCGATCAAAGATTCAAACATAAAATTAAAAATGTAAACATGTTAAAGAAAACTTGGTTAAATTTTTTTATACTGTTGGTGTGGGGAAAACCTTTCTAAGTCATAGAAAATCCAGAGGCCATAAAGTAAAATTGACTACATAAAGTTAAAACATTCTGTACTACATGATGCAATAAATCATCATGAAATATCATTCATTTATCTCTCCCACTGGCAAGGATTAAAATTTTGAGAATACCTGGTGTTGGCAAGGATGTGAAAAAATTAGACATTATCACATGCTGTTGTTGGCATGTAAATTGGTGCAAACTCTTGGAGGGCAATTTGGTAGTACTTGTCAAAATTTAAAGTGTATGCAGCAATTTTACTTCTAAAAAATTATCCTACTGGAACAAGGATATTTCATGTGCATTGTTTATAACTGTGAAAAACAGAGAAGAACCCAAATGCCTATTCACAGGAGAATCGTTTAATAAGTTGTAGTACCTCCTTACATGCCGTGTTCTAAAGAATTCACGAGATTTTTATGTGCTGACATGTGAAATTGTAAAAGATATATTAAATTAAAAAGCAAGTTTAAAGACAGCATATAGAATAGGATCTCATTTGTGTTTGAAAAATAATATACATATTCTTCCATTACGTGAATATATATGTGCATACATGGAAAATTTCTAGATGGCACGCAAGACAGTGTTCACAATTACTGACATTAGGGAGTAGAACTAGGGGTCAGGATAGACTAGTGTACTTTTCGCTACTTTGAGTGTACAATATTTTTATTTAAAAAATGAAAATAACGTATTCTCTAAACCACATCCCTAGAGGAAAATAAAACCTCAAGTGCTTAATTATAAGGGGTACTGAACTAATTAATAATCACATTTCTAGACAAGAGGAATGATTCATTTTTTTCTTGGAGATTCATTAAATGCCACCAATTCCCAAATGCAGTGCTTGAGTTTCAGATGTGTTCCAGTGCACAGGCAAGGCAGTATCGGGGTACTTGGAAATTTTCAGAGAACCTTTGAAGGGTATTGATTTCCAGACATTAGGCAAGTGGATGTTTACCCTAAAGAGGTGTGCACTCTTATTTTGTAGTCATAGGCTGCTCATAAGGTTGGTCAAATAATTGCATAAACCAATTATTTAAGTATTATATTTATTATTATTTTTGAGATTTTTTTTTTCAGTGCTAATTTCAGTGGCCAGATCACGAAGGAGGTAGATGCTAAACTTAATTATTCAAAGATGTCTCAAGGGAGTTAGGATACCTACATCTGTGGTGAACAGTCCAATCCAGTGGGCGTATCCTAGCCGGTTGAGGACAACAGTGAGGAAGGACTGGTGATACTGGTCTGTGATGCTGACCAGCTGTGCTCCGTGCATCAGGCAGGTTTTTATTGCTGCATACCAAGTCATATTTGCATTAATTATTTTGTAAGTTCTGTTGCCATATTCTAAGGTATTGGGCATTGGATACATATCAGATGTATTTACACCACGTCCAGAAGTATCTAGAACAAGAACAGCAACAAAGATCATTTGTAGCATGTGGATGACAAAGGAGGAGGCAAAGCTTAGCATAGATCCTTGTCACTATGATCCATGTTGATCACAGAGCTTTCTTCTGGAATTGACTGTTTCAAAACGAGGACACTATCTGAAAGTGTAGGTGATGCTAAAAAATGAGAACACTTAGGAAATTTAATGAATCATTTTTCAAAAACAAACATTGATTGAACCATTTCTAGAAGATTTCCCATTTTTGACCATCCTTTATCAAATTGACTGCTTTTTGGTGGAACTGATGGTGATCTTCTTAGGTGGGTTTCACTCCACTAACTACACTTGGCCTAATCCACACTGCTCTGGCAGAACTTAGTGCTTATTAGTAGCAGAGAGGCACATGTTATATAGTCACATACTGCATTGCAAACCTAATATTACAGGTGCATATTATCAGGTAAAATACTTGATAACACTTTTGACACTGATTCACTATTGTGCTTAATGTTAGCATGTATAAATTCTAAAAGGAACTTTAAAAAATAAAGTTAATAAATTCTTAGAAATACACACTGTTCTTATAAACAGTTACTATTAATATGTCACCTGTCACAGTCAAGGTTTATAAATTAAAAGGCAAGGTTTTCCCACATGTTGTCAAGCATTGGTGCTTGAGTGTTCGTGAGTGCCTCTGATCATGTGAAAACCAAGCCTGTGTTTATGAACAGGTGTTTCCTCTCTAATATGTGTGTTTGCCTTTCTGTTCTGTATTATGTTATATACTAGGATAGATTAAAGGTTTAGAAAACCTAAAGGACAAAAACAAGGTAAGAATTTTTGTACCTTCTGATCCAAAGTGACTTGAATTTCTGTGTACTGGTTTAACAACATTTGGTGTTGGAAAGAAGCATGTGAGGTGTGGATAGGTCATGAGACTGGGACTTAATCCTATTCCTGGCCCTAACTGGCTAAGAGCCCTTGGGCAAATAAATCTTTCTAAACCTCAAATTTATGGTCTCCAAGAGATGATGATGATCTCCCTTGGAGAGGTGTGGATGGAATTGAACAAGATATCCACACAGCGCACACACTATTGTATGGAGACACAGAAAGCATCCTATGATTGTTGCTTCTTCCTCCACTCTCCGCCTCCGGTCATACTCCCTCCAATAAAAATGGCAAAGTGGGAAACTGACCTTTATCTGAAACCATTACCTCAATATAGCAGCCATACATATGGAAAAACCAAAGTAAAATGAATCTATTTAATTTCTATAAATTGTGATGGGTCACACTTTTATCATATTTTTATTCTTTGCTAGAAGTCTGTGCCCAGCCTATATGTCCAGTGTAATGGTTATTCATACAAAATAAAAATAATATCAAAGTAGCTATTTTAAAATGCTAACAATTCGTAAAATTAAATGAAATTCTTTGTATATGTTACCCAAACGCCAATTTGACTGTTTTTTTTCCCCACTGAGTTATATGTCTGTATTTTTACATATATAAATTTCTCCATATGTAATTGATTCCATTAAGTTTCAAAACAAGTGATTTTTGAGCAGCAGGGTTTTTCCACCCATTGCCCTGAAAAAGAAAGATCTATTGGAAACCAAGTTCTAAACTGGGGAGTCTTGCTTTGCCATTGTGTCTCTTCTTATTTGGTTTCTTAATTGTTTTGGTAGATAAAAGACTTTGGGTTCAAGCCCAATGTGAGCACATATGTATCTGGCAAATGGAGAAGAGGAGCAGAACTTGAATAGTCATTGTTGGCTACAGTAATTAGTGCAGTTGAACAATACTTTTTGGAAATAATTAAAAACTCTATTATTTGTTAAATACATGCTAGAAGTATGCTAAGTGTTATATATACATAGAGTGTGTGAGATGGTTATTACCACATTTTGCAGATGCAGAAATCATGATCACAGAAGGTCACAACTTGACTGAAGCTTATCTACAAAGGAGGGTGGGAACCCATGTGTGGTGGGCACTCCAGTGCCTATGCTCTCAATCACCACTATTCTATACTATCTCTAAAGGCAAATCTACACTATTAGTCCGAAAAATACCAAAGAGAGAAAGTGATCAGAGGGTAAATTCCAAGAATAAATCAACATTAAGGTAGTGGAATAAAATCATTGTGTTTAACTGAGATTCTCTTGAGTGTGTTATTTTTGTTTTGTTTTGTTTTGTTTTGTGTTGTGTTGTGCTGTTTTCCCAGAGACAGAGTCTTGCTCTGTAGCCCAGGCTGGAGTGCAGTGGTGCGATCTCGGCTCACTGCAACATCCGCCTCCAGGGTTCAAGTGATTCTCGTGCCTTAGCCTCCCTAGTAGCTAGGACTACAGGTGCCCACCACCGTGCCAGGTTAATTTTTTGTATTTTAGTAGAGACAGGGTTTCACCACGTTGCCCAGGCTGGTCTTGAACTCCTGAGCTCAGTCAATCCACCCGCCTTGGCCCCCCAAAGTGCTAGGATTACTGGAGTGAGCCACCGTGCCCAGCAAGGATTACTTTTGTTTTTAAGCCTAGAGTTCCTCATCTGTAAAATGGGAAACTTTTACTTACTTCATAGAACTGTCTTGAGGATTTTATGGCAAACTGAGCATACACTCAAGGCACAGTGTCAGGCACATCATAAATGTGTAAGTACCTGGCATGCTCATATTATTTCTTTCCCTACAAGGCTCTGCTGTTCCCATATTACTCTTGCTATTACAGATCTAGTACCTTTTTTTCAGTTCCTGACCACTATAATGTTTAAGTGGTAACTGAGAACCAGAAATGGAGCTTCCCTGGCACTGCTTTTTCGAGGATGGGTTGATAGTAACATTAGAGACTTCACACGTATGCCACATTCAGAAGTAAAATTCCTATTCCAAATAAGCATATATATATATGCTAGACTGCCCAGAGTTCCACACAGCTCTAGACACCAACTATGGGGTTTCTTGGGTGGTGTGGGCAGGGGTATATACCCAGCATTCAATAAAAGCGTGAGCTGTTGTTTTTATTTATACTACTCAAGGTCAGTTATAGTGCATTCACACTGCTCATTGACCCTGTTGGCTATTTGTAATAGTGTGGCTTTGACATTTCACACAGAAACCATTTGGGGGTTCTGCCCATCAGGTCTAGAAGCTTGCTGCATACCACATTTAGCCACAGAGACCATTTTCAGGGTTCCAAAAATGGAGCCAGTATGAGTTGGTTTATTTCCCTGATTCTTTCCCAACATTTTCTCAGTGACCTTTAGGAATTACCTGAACAGATACATAATCCCAGAACGAAGCAGTAAAACCATTTAATATGACTAAGATAGATACATAAATCTGGTCATCACTCAAGTGGCCTCAGCAGTCCTTAGAATCCCACTAAAGGGCATAAGACTAGGGTAGAGGAGATTAAATAACTAAACTTAGGTAAAGCCAAAGAAGTGCCTGACGCTGTGAGCCATGAAGCTGTTAGCTACACAGCTGTGTAAAACCAACATGGAAGAGAAGGATGGACTTTGGAAATGAAAGGAATAAAAATCCAAATATTTCTCACCTTGCATTTTTTCACATACAAACCCATAGCCTTCCTTTCCACAGTCTTCAAAATACCATTTTCCAGTGAAATGAAAATTGGGATTACTTGAGAGCAAGGCACAGAGAGGAATGTGTTTCTGAACTTCAGTGGTACTGTGATTTGGAATCTTTAAAATAATGCATATTATCAAAAGTATGATAACATATAGCATTATTATAACATTAAAATTTGTATTAAGAACATTATTTTTAAAATTAAGACACCATTATTCCTTTATTTGCATTTAATAAACTTATTCACAAGTCATTTCATAACCTACAAAATAAACAATTATTGTGATGAGTAAAGTAATTATATTTATGGAACACATAAAATTATATCAAATTACATTAAAAATTAATGTATTAATGACAAACTAATATAAAGTTATACCTACAAAATACAGGAAATAAAAAAGCTTTAATAAACAAGTCTTGAATAAAATATCTTGCCAAAGTGATCTCTAAAAAATGAATCTTAAAACTTACATTTATTGTATCAAATGGAGACCAGTTAGAATATACCACAGGCTTTCCATTTAGCCATGTTTCATAATCATCATTTTGTAAACCTATCCACACATTAGTGGTCTGGCCAAAAAGATTCATAGTAATGAAAGCTGAAAAGCAGGAATACATTATCTAATTTAATACTGCAGAAAGCATTTGGGTAATCACTGAATCCTATTTATAGCTATGATTATATTTAAATGCCAGCAAAACATAATTATGAATCATTTGTAGGAATTTGTTACTTCATCCTTGTTAAGGTAATGCAGTTTCTTTCACTTTTGTTTTAGTTTAAATTGACAGAAATTAGCTGGATAACCTGAGATTTCATCATATCATTAACAAAACAATTTCCAGTGTTCATTAATTACCTTTCTAAACAAAAGAGGATTTACCTACTATATTTAAACTAAAGTAAATAATTGTTTAAATATCAAACAAAAGCATGTAGGTAAGTCTAAAGGGATCTAAAAATCATACCATGCAATTACATGTAGATTATACCTGAGACTCTTTTAGCCATTTTGAAATATAGGCCATAAACATGTCCTTATTCTTTCCACTGCTACTGGTAAGAGAAAAGGCTCCCAAACCCAGCAGTTTATAAGCAATGCAGCACACTAACTTTCACAGATATCATGAAATAAAATCTATGGGTGAAAGTGAAAATTCATGTATCATCAGCAATACAGTATTTTAAATGTTGATTTGGGAATGTTAGTATTGGTGGGGGGATATTTTAATAAATACTTGAACAAAAATGGTTATCTTGGCCTGGTTGGTTGGATCTTGAGTACTCTACCTTGCTCCACCTCACTTTCAATGGCGACCAGGGTCCCTGCTTCTTCAGCACAGAAATGTTGAGCATGCGTCCAGTTCTTCCAACTGCTTGGGTCTTTGGGGATATTCAGCAAAAGGCACTATCAAAAAATGTCAAAACAAAACATTCATTTCTGTATTTTTCTAAGTGAATTAAAAATGTCCCAAAGACACTGAATATCAGTTTTGAAAATTCTTTATACTTTCCTTGGGCAGAAAGAACTCATTTTTCTCTCAACTCCTCCAAAGGTGTTACAGTAAAACAAAGAGGAGCAGCTTTCAGGGTGAGTTAATGACTTGCCTGCATTTGCCGCAGGCAGGAACAGAAGCAGGGATGCGTTTTGTCATGTGAAATGTCAGAACAATGCCTTCAGCACAATGAAATGTAGTATTCTTCCTAAAAAGGAGCCACCCTGATTGCAAAGTTTACACTGGCACATTTAATCTAAAAAAAAAAAAAACCATTCTAGGGGTGGCAATGAACAGCTTAGTTCAATTTTATTTACAAACACACTTCCTTACTTTAAGTGAGAGAGAAATAATGGGGAGTCAAAGCGCATCAGGTGTTTAAATTCACTAAATACTTGGTCACTAAGTCTATTGGCAAGAGCCAGAGAAGAAAAATAAATGATTCCAGTGGGACAGAAAGCAAGGGTATGACCAAAGAAACCTGGAAGAAGTAGAAATGAAGGGGAAGGTTGGCCATCAATGTTAAAGAGAACACAAAAAAGGTTGTGGAATTTGGTAATAAAAGTTGAGTGTTATGCAGGAGAGAATCATGTCTGTATCATGGCAGAGGTTTCCTTTCTTTTCTTTTCTTTTCTTTTCTTTTCTTTTCTTTTCTTTTCTTTTTTTTTTTTTTTTTTTTTTTTTTGAGAGGGAGTCTCGCTCTGTCGCCCAGGCTGGAGTGCAGTGGTGAGACCTTGGCTCACTGCAACCTCCGCCTCCTGGGTTCAAGTGATTCTCCTGCCTCAGCCTCCCGAGTAGCTGCGACTACCCGTGCGTGCCACCACGCCTGGCTAGTTTTTGTATTTTTAGTAGAGAGGGAGTTTCACCATGTTGGCCAGGATGGGCTTGATCTCTTGAACCTGTGATCTACTCGGCTTTACCTCCCAAAGAGCTGGGATTACAGGTGTGAGCCACTGTGCCCAGCCGCAGAGGTTTCTTTTTTATGGGATGGGATGAGAAATAGAATGATACATACTTGACAGGACAGGCAGGGTTAAAGATGAGTTTGTTTGTTTTTCCCCGAAAGTTCAATGAAATTTAAGAATGTTGGTAGGACCAGATGGAGTTAGGTGAGAGGAAAAGATAGAAGAGAAAGGTTATAACGGGTCAGGCAAAATTCCAGAGAGGTCAGGAGAAACTTTATGCAAAGGATATTTCATCTGGAATTGCTGGGGATTCTTCTCTCATATTCAATTCTCTCATCAGTGAACACAGATGACCAGAGTGATTGATAGGTCAGAACCTAAGATCTTGCCACTGAGAAAAACCCAGCTACGGGATAATTCTAGGTTAGCATGGAAGCCTACACTTGAACAAGCATCCTTTCCTACCTTATTTTGGAATAGTATCTGATATAGTTTGGATATCTGTCCCCTCCAAATCTCATGTTGAAATGTGATTCCCAGTGTTGAAGGTGAGGCCTGCTGGGAGGTGATTGGATCATGGGGCAGATCCCTCATGAAGGCTTAGGACCATCCCCTAGGTGATGAATGAGTTCTCAGTTCACGCGAGATCTGATTGTTTTGGAACCTCCTCCCACCTCACCTTCTTGCTCATGCTCTTGCCATGTGACATGCTGGTTCCCTGTTACCTTCCGCTATGATTGTAAGCTCCGTGAGGCCCTCACCAGGAGCAGGTGCCGGCACCATGCTTTTTGTACAGCCTGTGGAACTGTAAGTCAAAATAAAACTATTTTCTTTATCAGTTACCCAGTCTCAGATATTCCTTTACAGAAATGCAAGACTAGTCTAACACAATATCTTTCCCCACCATTCTTTAATTTCCAAATTTGTCGGTTCTCCACCCCTTCCCCACCATCACACACCCCTTAAAAGCAGAGAGACTCTTACTCCTCTTTGAACATCACACCAGAGAAGGTCCCTAGTAAACATTTATTAAGCAAAATAAAAGCCAACAAACCTGAAAATGGTTGTCAAATGACATTGTCAGGCATTCTAAATTTAGCTCAGTGGCTCTCCAACAGGACAATTTTGCCCCTCATGATATATTTTGATAATGTCTGCAGATTTTTTTCATTTTTACAACTGGGGAGGGGATTGCTATTGGCAACTAGTGGGTAGAGACCAAGGATGCTGCTAACCATTTGCAAAGCACAGGTCAGGTCAGTCTTCCAAAAGAAAGAATTATCCAGCCCCAAATGTCAATAGTGCAAGGTAATTCTTTTTAAAACTCAGTCCTGATCATGTCACCCTTTAGTTTAAACCCTTCAGGAATTTTCCACTGCCCTTAGGATAAGAAACAGAAACCCTGAACTAGCCTGAAACCCTGAACTAGCTTGAGTTGCCAACTAAGAGAGAAAATACATTTTCAATTCTTCTGGTCCTTTTTGTCTTGTTTGCTTCACAAAGAAACTGAATTGGCTTTTAAGGAGTTTCATTTTATAACAACTATCCTTTTATCTATTTCCTTTCACTTTGCCTCTTTCCTCTAATTACAAATTCTAAAGAGTGGCACATATTAATTATTGGGAAGTCTTATCATTTAATGTGAATTCACCTTGTGTTCAGATAGTTACACTAATGAACCATTCATAAATACCAATGAACCTCATTGGTTCAGTTAGCTCAATAAATCTCTCCAGAAAAACACCCCCCTCTGCTTCCTCTATGTTTGCCTCAGCCAGGATTTACTAGCTTGACTACGGAAGTGTGGCCTCCCATTACCACGACTTCATTGTTTCTAAAAATATAACATATTTACTAACACACTCCGAAATTGTGTCATTAATAATTAAGGCAAAGCAGCAAGATGAAGTGCAGCATCCTTAATTAAAAATTGTTTACTTACTAATTTGTAAAATGTGATCAAGTTTAATGCATCTCTGATTATTACTGTGAATTAAGGAGGTCCTACTCTATTCTAAATGGGCTTTCAATATAAGATTCTTTTTTGTCTCAAAATCATTTCTAGCTCAATATTTGAAAATGAAATTCAGTTCCCTCCAAACTTGGTCCTTTCCCAGTGTTCCTACTCACAATGAATGGCATGGTCAGCATGCACTTATACACATACAAGAAGCCTGAAGCCTCAGAGGCATCCTCACCTTTCCACTCCATCTCCCCAACAGCCATACCATTTGGACATCTCATTTCCCAAAGAGTCCCCTCACCCATCCCCCATTCCCACTGCCTCATGGTCTCTGCTACCACCATCTTAGCCCAAGCTACTAATTCTTGCCTGCACTATAGCAATAGCTTCCTAACTGCCCTTACCTTTCTCACACTTGCCCTTCTCCCATATATCCTTGGCACTGTACCTAGAGTAACTTTTAAAAATTTGGTCCTGGTCATGTTCTTCTTTAGTTTTTAACCCATCAAGAGTTTCCCATTGCTTTTAGGATAGAGGACAGTAGTCCAATACGGTATCACCCTTTCCACTTCTTTTGTCTCACCTTCTGCCACTCTAGTTCTTTATGCTTCCTTTAGTTTCTTAAATGTCATACTCCCCCTTGCTGCAGGACCTTAGCACATGCGGCTCCCCCTATTTTTAATGTTCCTTGCCTTTCTGACCACTTCAGTCATGTCCTCTGGCTATACACTTTTCTAGAACCACAAAACTTTCCTTCATCACAGACACCACAATTTTAAATTAAACAGCCATTTTCCTGATCGATTTACTAATGTTTGTTCTCCCTCTAATGTGTAAGGTCCAAAAGAGAAGGGGTTGTTTCTGTTTTTTCTCACCACTGAATTCCCGACATCCAGCATAGTCAAATGAATGAATGAATCATGGGTGAGACTATTTTTAAGGAAAAACTATGTTATGAACAAAATCAAATATTGACTAATCCCAAACTAGACGGTGCAAAGCAGCCATTACCACTCAATCTAGGTCTTGAATAAAAATATGTAAGTAGAAGCACAAGAGTTAATCACACACACACACTTAGAATTTCTTCCTCCCACAGATCTGCTGGGACAAGTATCTTAGATGACTCACTCTTCCTGGGTTAACCCCTGGTCAAACCTCTTCTACATTGTCAAACACAGAGAAAACTATTTATGAGACATCAGAAAAGATGCTTAATTTCTGTGTATCTCAGTTTTAAAAACTCTAAAAGGTGGTTAATTCGTCAACAAAGTGGGATTTTTTTCCCTAGAAACAACCAATAAAAATTAGTCCTAGGAAATTCACAAACAAGAAGCAAAGTTTAATGGGACATAATATATTGGAACTTATTTCAGAATTGTGAAGCAAAGAAGGTCCATCATTGTTATCTCCCAGTTTTCCTTCTGTAGCTTTATTTATTAATAGGGAAAAACCATCCCACTCCTCTCAGCTATCAACTCTTCTATTAGCAGTTTTTCTAATAATCTGATAAACCCACCTGTTTCAAGGTGTAGATGACAAATGAGGCAATCTCAAAAATATTTCCCTTTTAAAAATAAAGGAAAGTGTTGAGACAAAGGAGTGAAACTCCAGTGGTGGAATTTTAGGCATTAATGTGCCGGGGAAGGCACTGTGGGTGGGGAGACATGCATGGTGACTCTGACACTGTGCCAGGTGAATTGCCACCTACTCATGAAGCCTGCTGTGATGATATCCTTTGTAATCAAATTCTCCTAATGCCTTGAAGAAAGAGTTGTGTAACTATGTTGAATTGCCTGGCAAATGTTGGCTACACATTAGAATAACTGAGGGAGCTTTTAAAAAATACGGATGCCTGGATCCCATGCAGATCAGCTAAATCAGAAACTTCAGGACGTCTCCTGCACCTTGATGTTTTTAAAAAGCTCGCCTGCTGATTCTAAATATTTGACCAGGGCTGAAAACTACTGATCTAGCTGTTAGTTATCAATAAATTTTTTTTATAGAACTCTGAGCTACATGAGGGTGTTTTAATCATGCCCCA